TTTATCTTGATCTGTTTTCCTGGGGGGGGGGTTGGGGTGGCGGGGGGGGGGGTTAATAAAAAACTCCGAAAAAACATGAAAACATTGAATATTCTTTCATTCTTCATTAAAAATATATCACTTACATAGTAAGCATAAATAGCTTACTTTAAAATTACCAATTACTTAAATTTGGATACACTTGTTCCCATTACCATTGGTAGGTATTTGTGAGATACATGAAAAGACACTTTTTAAATAATGTGTTTTATTTTGCACATATTGTAGACCAACATGGACAGTTCTCCATAGGTTCATTATTTGTCAGGAGTATGTATACCTGCTATACAAAATACAAAATATAAGCATCTCCTCTGCTTTCCAGAGCATAAAAGACCCTTCTCCTGCCCTAAAGGTTAACCCAGCCAAGGCAATGACAAAGGAAACTTTAGAGAGCTCATTGATGAAGATTTTAATTCAAGAGGGACTGATGAAAGAATGGGTTTTAAACTTGGAGGGCACAGACAGAAGTGCAGCTCTTCGATGTAACTCACAACACATTGCAGGAAGTGTTCTGAGTTACAAAGATCCCCTGGACCTAACAGAAGTTTACTGTTGATTCAAGGGGGGAAGGGAATCAGTTGCTGGCTGCCAGCCTGCATCCAGTTTCCCCTAGCAATGGCCCCTCCTCTCTCCCAGCCTGTCCCTATTTCAGAATGGGATGGGGGAAAGGGAGCAGAGGAAGCTTGTTCTAGTAGTTTTCCAGATGGCACTGGAGGATGGGGCGAGTGAATTGGAGCCCCCCCCCTACTGGGAGGGGGAGCTTCAATACGTCTGTCATACTTTCCAGTGGGGAACTAAAAAAAATCCAGACCGAACTCCCTCTGCTCCCTTTCCCCCCTCCCATTCAAAAAACAGCAACAGGCTGGGAGGCAGCACAGATACAAGTTACAAAGGCTGCTATTTTTTTAAAATGCCTCCATTTGACCCCTCATGCAATGAAAGTTCATATTTTTGCTGGATAAGCCATTTTTGAAGTCATCTGCAACTGAGCACTTGTGTTTGGTCATAGCTATAGACCACTTTCTGTGGCCAGATTGGGCAAAAATTGTCACTTCTGTCTGCGCCCTTAAGAAATGAGTAGGAGGGAGAGGCAGGCTGTTTGGTAGACAACAAGCAAGAGCCTTTCAAGTTTAGAGCATCAACACAGGCACAACATTGAGAGTTTGAAGAGCTGAAAAGAACAGTTGATGAACTGGGGCAAAAGATGAATAAGAATAGAAGGGGGAGAATATATAAGGCTGTGAAAGTAAAGAGGCATTTGCAGTAGACATGGTTAAAGGAAACCAGTGGATCAGTACTTTGAAAGGACAAATATTGTTAAAAGGTGCAAAAGTATGCCCTTAAGTATGTTAGACATTAAATCCATGTTTCTCAGGGAAAATACTGTCTGTAGTTACTAAACATGTATGATCTAGAAAGTAATGTCCGGAAAGGGTGTGTGTGTTGTGTGTATATGAGAGACAGACTCACACAGAGACTATAAGCAGTTACCTGATCTTCAAAGTCAAATTCAGTATCCAGCATATCTCCAGAATCCATAATCAGACTGCGATCAAGTTCATTTGATCCTAAAATAGGAAAGAAACAACTTCAGATATGAACTGCGAGGTTTCACTTTGCATGGTGGAACATATTTTCTTTCTAATCTCAATCGAGCACCTTCAGTGGTGTGTGTGTGTATGTGAACACAGAGCAAACACACATGTAAAAAAATACTACCCAGGAAATTCTGTGTGTGAAAGAATTCTAATAAACATGTTGTTTCTATAGGAAAGTCTATTAAAGGCTGCAACAAATGCTACTAATGAGCAGTTATTAGAAGTGGCCTGTCGCTGGCAGGTTATTTTTTGTGTGTTCTGCAAAGTGATGCCATGCAGTGCACCATAAGAATATAATTGGAATTGTTATTTACTGTTAACATAGTGAAGAACGATAGCCTGATTCTTCTCTGGGAAAGAGAAAGGTCTCACTGAATGATGGGGAAAGACATGATCTACTTTGTGTAGACATCAGTAAACCAGAATGGAAGAAATTTATGCTCACTTCGCTTTGATATAAATGACTGCAGAAGGTAAATTTCTCAGCACTGCCACAGGTATTGGGTGTGCCCACTGCCAAACTGGATCAGCCACCAACCCTCTAATCCAGCTGTCCATACGTACATACGTGCCTCTGAAGCCCAGAAACACTCACTTTCTATTAACAACCCCAGGACTAGAAGCATGTTATGCCAGTCCCTTGTGTGCTGAAGGAAGGAAAGACTTCCCACACCTTTTATAATTTAGCCCTATTTATTGCTCAGCAGAGGGTATCACTATTTGGTACATGTGAAAGTTTAAGTGTTTATTATATGCCTAATTACAGGATTATTGAGTTTCTGATAACATAGAAATGTCCACATCTTCTAGTTTAATGCCGTTTTTATTTTCAGTGAACTGATCAAAAATAAAATGTGGTACATTTGTTAGGGATATGCTTGTTTAACTCCTCAACCTGTCACTTTTCCAGTAGTGCATAGAGTTTGAAAGGAGCTGATAGACCAGGTTCAAACAATGAAGACATCAAAGGCCCGCACCCACTCCCAGAACACAGTGCTGAGGTTCGTTCCATGCTGCACCGGTAAACTCTACCAACTAGCTGACTGCAATTCATGCGCGAGTCTAAATGTCATCTACTTAAAACACTGCAGTGGAGACCACTAGAATAGGTAAAAATGTAATTTCTATTGTGTTATGCTGTCATCAGTTGGGCAAGATGTGGACAAGGAGAGGAAATTATATTCTTGTCTGCATGTTTACACATAGGTTAGGTACAGATATTCAAAAAGCCCAAAGCAGAATCAATCTAAGTTACGTGGGGTTTTGTAAGTGCAATAGTTTAGTTCAACAGTGAACAGAAAACACATTTGCCCTTTGGGGTGTGGGGCAAATCTTAGACCAAGCTCTGTCATTTTTAAACCAGTCTGTGTGCTGAACTTCTGTTCTGTTATGGACATAGACCAGTTTCTGATCACTTATACTGGTAAAAGTGTAATGTCTATACCTGGCAATACAGTGGAAGACTGTTGGGAGCACAGGCACTACTAAAGACAGACTTCAGCATACTACTGATCTTGGTGCAATGGTTTTCTCACTGTTGAAACAGCTATCTGGATAGCCATCTTTTTGTGCATAGTCCACAATAAGCCTTACAGCTTCATTCATGCCAGATGCACTGAAGCATCAGCTGTTTTTGTTTATTACTATGTAAATGTTAAAAATAATCTGTGTAAAGGGTGAGGTAAACACTGAAGACAGAACATAAGCAGGGATTCAAGAAGCACATCTGGCATGTGCGAGAACCTGCACAGGGGTTTCCCCACGTGTAGGGATCCCTTGCCAGGGATTTCCTCAGGACATGTATCTCACTGCTGTGCCCTGAGTCAGGGGCTTGGCACCTGGGGCTATTGTCCCAGAGGATTCGGCCCCTGAAGCCCTGGGTGCAGCAGGGGCTGACTCTGCAGGGCATCAGCCCTGGCAACATCTGTAGATGCTAATGAAGCAGATCAGCTGTGCAGGAACACATCCTAGAACAGCTGATCCTGCTCCATAGATGATGTCTCTTGTTAGCCTAAAACAATAAAGCTCTGTAGAAGTGATTATTCCAGTGCTGCTTAATTTGTAATCCATATTATAACAACTGCCAAATTCATCATTGATGTAACTTCAGTGACTTTGAGAGTTACACCAAAGAGGGATTTGACTCACCATCCACTTTTTTTTAATGTTCTTGTATACTGTTACAGGTTGTTACAATGAATAGAAAAGGAATACAGTTTCCTTGCCATATAACATCCAATAGTTGTAAATAGCATTCTATACTTGATACCTATGGTTTGTGACCTATTTATTGAAAAGATCTGCTTGTTACAGTAAATCTTGTGCTACAAATAGTAATACAAAGAGCAGGGTGAAAGTTAGTGGCCATGGTGAGATATGTGAGCGTGTTGACTGTGTAAATGAATCGAGTGTTACTTTCCGCTGAATTTGCCAATGCAAAGAATGCATAATTGTATTTCATGTTTACAGTATAGTCCATGCTTGCCAACCTGGCAGTATTCTTCTTCACACCTGTGGCTGGAAGATTTTATTTCTGAAGGTCCTCAGTCAAACGTAAGTCATGCAAATAACAGAAGACATAATGGTATGTATTTTTAACACAACCAAATGTTTAAGGCTGTTTCTCTTCAAATTGTGAACCCAGTTTCCCTGAGGATGCTCCTTCCTCTTCCCAAAGAGGTTCTTCTTTTCTTTTTTCTCTGAGGACTTGACAAAAGCTAAGTTATCTGTAGTGAATGTTCTACATAGAATTGCAATTTTGCTGGGTCATCTAAAAATAAACCTAAAAGAGGATGGCCTGCTGTGAAGTTAGAGGTTGTTCTCAAATAAGACAAAGCAAGAGGCAGCCAGCGACACCATTTCTGCTGCATTGTTGGAAGGGGAGATTAGCAACCTATTCATCCCAGTCCTACTACTTTAGAAGGAAGCATTCCTATCTTGCTGTATCCATGCTCTAATGTAGTAACTAATCTATGGGTTTTAAGTGGAAACGGTAGTTGACTGTCTATTCACTAAAATGACCATCATATTCAATCCGTAGAATAATGGAAATGACTGAATGGAAAGATCTTGAACTATGACAAGGGATACTGAGGGTGGGAGGGTGATCTAAAATTCAACTCAGGTTTGCTGGAGACCCTGCATCCTAAGGTTTAGGAGAGTTATCGGTTTATGTAGCACTGGTGATACTCTCATCAGCTATCAAAAGGGAAGCAATGAATCCTAATTTAAAATGTATCAAGCCAGTGGAAAAGAGAAGACTTGGCAAATGTTTTGTTTGAACATCAGTGTATGTTCATTGTTATTCAACCTGTTTCAGTGCCAGTGTTTTAGTAATACACTGAGCCGTGTCAGTAAGTTTTAATTCACTTTTAATATAAAAATTACAGAATGGTTAAGCTTGAATACTGGAATATGGGGCACAAGTACTTATGTAATATGCTTATTGCAAAGAGGCAGCTCTTCCGGTGGTGCATTGTCTTACCTTTCCTTTCAAATTCATTGCCCAGTTCCAGCGCAACATTTAAACACTTGTTTTAAGTACATGACATTTTACATTAGATCTCCATGTAAGTATCTGAGTAATCCCACTGACTTAGATCAGAGCATCCAAATGCTTAAAAGTACACAAATGCTTAAAATGCTGTCCTGAAAAAGGGACATAGAATCTGGAAGCCAAGACCTGATCTGAAAAGATACATTTATAATCTAAATATGGCTTTCAATTCTGATGTATACATATATACTAGGGTCACAGATGTCCAGGGAAAAGAAACGAGCAAATGTTCATGTCCATTATGTTTTCCTAAGTGAAAAGTGGAGAGGATTAAATTACAGTTGTGTCTATTTCCAAAACTATCCAGTTCATTTAACTTCATTAGATCTTCCAGTCAAGGTACTGACTATATAGCCTTACGTACTGATTATAGGGTGCATCTACACATGAGTTTTAATGTGCATTATGCTATTTTAATGTACATTAAAGCATCACAAAAAAAATGCTCTTTAGGTAATGCACATTAAAATAGGGTAATGCACATTCTTCTAGCACTTCACAACTAGACTTCACAATTTCTAGCACTTCTAGTACTTCACAAATGCCCACAACAGTGGGCATTTTTACACATGTATGCGTCACAGTGCTGGGTGCTTTGAAAAGCACCTGGTGCTGCGATGCATATAGTTGTATAAGTGGCAAAATGCACGTCAGTGCTGACAAAATGGTGGCAGAATGCTTTTGAACTAAAACACCTTGGAGGTTCTTTATTTCAAAAGTGCACCATTGCCATTTTCTGTGTGCTGATGCGCATTTCATTGCTTATGCAACTGCGTGTGGTGCAGTGAAGTTTTCCCTAGCTTGCGTGTGGGGAAGACTTGTTTAATCAAAGTGGTGGATCTCCAGTGCATCGCTGGAAAGAAAGTATGTGTATAAATGCCCAACGGTACTAGATTTAATGCGCATTACCTAAAGGACATTAATGAATGTAGATGCACCAGCAGTCTTATAAAGCATGTCTACACATTAGCCTCTTTTAATGCACATTAAGATGTCACAAAAAAACAGACACGCTTCTTTGGGTAGATGGTGATATCTTTTATTAGACCAGCTGAGTAGATGCACCACAGGCTAGACAGTGCCTAGAGCAGGTGAGACCAAGGGATTCACTGCAGGCTGGACAAAGTCACTCTGCAAGCTGTATCTGGCCCATGGGCCATATTTTGACCACCTGCTCCCCTACCACTTGCCCTTCCACTTGTTTCCCTACTGCTTTCCCAAATGCCTACCCCTCTCCCACCATGTGGCCCCCTGCCACTGCTTTTTCATCTGCAAGAGTGGAGAGGAAAATTTTAAGGTGACCCTCCAAAAATTAGATTCTACACATGGAAAAAAATATAACAAATTTATATTTTCCATTAATAGAATCTAACTACGGGGGTGGGGAGGAAGAGGGTGGCTCTTAAATGCAGAG